ATCTTCCTCCTGTTTTCATTGGCAAGAGACAGCAGTCTCCATTTCTGGGGCCTCCTTCACCCTATGACTTCCCTGCCAGCAGCAGGAAATGTGAAAAATGGGTCTCCTAATCATTCAGCCTTTCTCTCCCATGGTCCTCGCAGTGCAGGTGAGAAGTGGCTAGCTCCTGTTGCCTCGAGCCCTAATTAATCTCTTCCTGCTCGCCATGCCCCATGCTGACCACCAGAGAATCCCACAGCTCCTTCCCTCTACCTTTTCTGATCTTGGCTGGCTTCCAAGGTTCAGCTCAAGTCCCTTCTCCAGGAAGCCTTCTGTAGCTACTTCAGCCCGTGCTGGCCTCACACCTTCCACCCCAAAAATAATGTTCTTAGCAGCCCTTGGTGTAGCACCAAATCAATCTCCAATTCCAATTTGCTTACCCCTATTCTTGCCTGTAGGACTCTTAGGGACACAGACCACGCCGTGACATGTCAGAAAGAGCAAAGGCTTTGGGCTCCAAACCCAGTTTTATCGCATATGAGCTTTGTGACCTTGGTCAAGGAATGGACCTCTCTGAGCCTTTGTTTTCTTATCAGGATGCCCTCCCAGCATGGTAGACTCTGTAAGAAACTATAGTCAATAATAGTACTCTTGGCCATCAGACACTCAAGAATTCTCCTTTGATTTTTATCCCTCCTTCCTTCCCTGCCTTTCTTCTTCATTATTTTTCCACATTACCTATTGCGTGCATCTCAGTGCTTGGCCGATTATAGGTGCTCAGTAAATAATTAATTTCCTTCTTGAGTTCAGATATTTTTTATCTCATAAAGGGCAAGGTTGATGTCCATTCATCTCACCCTGGTGTCCCCAGGACACAGCCTTGTGCCGGGCACAAAGATGCGTCTCAGTGACGTCTGGTGAGCGGATGCACTGTGTGCTTGGGGCACTCAGAGGAGGATGGGCACGCAGTGAAAGATTTGAGAGCAGTATCAACCTGCCAGCTGAACAAAGGAGGGTCTGTGAGGGATGGAGGCTGGTGGTTTCCAATGGGATGACTTTTCTGAGCCATTGTGAAGAAAGGGATCAGAGCCATTTCTATGCTACCACTTGCAGAAGTTGGGTAGAAAGATAAAGGAGCACTGAGAGAGAGAGAGCCGTGGAATCTCTAATGGTGGGAAATCCCTCGGAGTCCTCTGAGTGCCAATATGTCAGTTCCCTGGCTATGCCTCAGACACACATTTTCTTCAGCAGCAGAACTGTATTTTACCTGCTGGCAAAGAGCAACAATTCACTTGTAGCACAGGAAGAAAGCTGCCGAAAATCAAAGGAAAGCAGCAGGCAGGAACCTATAAAGCAAGTCCCCCATCCCTATTCCCCAGACAGAAGGCCTGGGAAGGGGGTACTTTAATTTCTGCACCAGTTTTTCTGGAAGGAGACAACTCCATTGTAAATTATTGAACATTTCATTTAAGCTTCATAAATAAGAGACTCGGATGAAAACATTCCATGTTAGATCCGCTTGGCAGCATATAATTTCTGTCTTACTCCCATGATCTGTCACCCTTCATCTACGTCGGAGAATTTCTACTTCATTATAGGCAATTGAAGGTCTCAATCAGCTGCCTGGGAAATGTAGTTTATGTCCCAGAGGTAATCTCATTTCTCCAACCAAGGATGTACCTGGGACTCGCCGAACAGACTGACGGAGATAAATGTGTGCTCTGAACAGATCTGGGGGCATTGCAGTCACCCCATCAATCTAGTGACAGGTACTCGGCCCAGCCAGGGGCTGGCTCCTGACTGACAGCTGGACTCCCTGAATCACTGGTTTCATTGGAGCCAACAGGCTAAGCCTCAGCAAAGCGACAACACATGTGTCGAGGACCAGCCTGTGTCTGCCTGGGGGAACACACGCCACACAAGGACTGAGAATCCTGGAGGAGTTCTCTAGCGAGGAAATAATACTATTGGCTCCTGTCTCAATGAGCCAGGCACTGTACTTCATACACATTGGTTCATGGAAGCCTCACAATGACCCTCAGAGATGGATACCGTTATTCTTCCCCTTCTGCGGAAACTGACGCTCGAGGAAGTTAAGTAATCACCGTTACACAGGTAAAAAATGGCAGAGCCTGCATAGTCACGTGTACAGCAGGCCTCACAGTCTGTCAGACTGCACAGTTTACCTCCCCTGGTGTTGGCGCTTTTGAGGAAGAAAGAATGAAGGGTTAGGAATTGGGTGGAACTGGTTTGAGAAAGGAAAAGAGGGCGCATTCTAATGCATTTCTGCAAGGGAGCCTGGTCAGCAAGGCCTGGTAGGTCCTGCCATCCTCAAGCCTGGGGGGTTTATTGCATAGGCTGCATGGAAGCCATCCTGGGAAGGGGGTGTAGAACCCTTGGGCTACCCTGCAGCGCCCCCTTCATTAAACCAAAATGTGTGTGAAGGAAAGGTTGCTCCATGCATTTTCTCTCAAAATTATTCCTGATACCTTGGGACTCTTGTGGAAGTCACAGCTGCTCTGGGAAGGGGTTGAAATGGGGGGCGGGGCAGGGCGGAGCATTTCAGTCCTCCTAAAAGCCCTGAACCCTGAGGCCAGAAGCGTGAGTCATCTCCAGCTCGTCACAGAGTTACTCTTTGCCTAGTTTTTTTTAATACAAAGATGATGTACTGGTTTGAATAGTGCCCACCCCCAAATTCATGTCCTCCTGGAACCTGTGAATGTGACCTTATTTGGAAATGGGGTCTTTATAGATGAAATCAAATTCAGATGAGGTCATAATGAGTTAGGATGGGCCCTGAATCCAATGTAACCAGGGCCTTTATAAGACGAGAAGATAGAGACACACGAGGAGAATGCCATGGACTAAATGTGCCCCCCCAAAATTCATATTTTAGAATCCTCATATGTCAGGGGATGGGACGTTTGGGAAGTGAGGTCATGAGGATGGAGCTCTCATGAATGGAATTAGTGTCCTTTTAAAAGAAACTCCGCAGAGCTCCCTCGTTCTTTCCGCCATGTGAGGACGCAGTGAGAAGCCCACCATTTAGGAACCAGGAAGTAGGGTCTCACCAGACATCACATCTGCTGGTGTGTTGACCTTGGACTGCTCCACCTCCAGAACTGTAAGAAGTCAGTGTCTGTTGTTTAAGCCCCCCAGGCTACCGCAGTTGTTAGAGCAGCCTGAGCTGATGAAGACATCCTGGGACCACAGAGGCAGAGAGGGTGACAAAGCTGCAAGCCAAGGAACGCCAAGGACTTCCGGGAGCCACCAAAGCTAAGAAGAGGCCAGGAAGGATTCTCCCCTTAGAGACTCCGGAAGGAGCGCGGCCCTGCCAACACCTTGATTTCAGCTCTCGAGACCCCAGAACTGAGAGAGAACATATTTCTGTTGTTTTAAGCCACCCAGTCTGTGATCATTTGTCATGATAGCCCCAAGAAACTAACGCAGACGGGAAAGACTCCCTGTGCCGCCGTCCTCACAAGTTTGTGATGAGGGTCAAACACACAGGTATTTTGAGAACAACAAATGTTCTGTCAACGCAGAAGGGCATGATCATCAGCTGTGGCTCTGGCAGCCCACACAGGGCACCAGAGAGCCCGCCAGAACTCCGACTGTCTCTGAGGGTCCCTGTGGGTGATGATTTGCTCTTGTTGCATTTTTCTATTATACAACCCCAGTCCTAATCAAGGAAGGTGAGTTTGATACTAGTTTGACGCTACCATAATGGCCCCCAAAGATGCCCACATTCTAGTCCCTGGCACCTGTGACTACGTCATCTTACATGATGAAAAGGAGTTCGTGGATGTGATTAAGTTAGGGCTCTTGAGATGGGGAGAGTAGCCTGTACTATCCACATGGGCCCAATGTCATCACAAGAGTCCTTACGAGAGGGGTGCAGGGAGATTTGAGTCAGAGTGGAAGATGTGACGATGGAAGCAGAGGTCGGAGAGAAAAACAGATTTGAAAATGCTATGCTGCTGGCTTTGAAGATGGATTATGGGGCCACAGCCTCTAGAAGCTGGAAAAGGCAAAGAAATGGATTCTTCCCTGGAGTCTCTAGAAGGAAGGCAGACCTACTCAGCCATTATAGATGTCAGATCACCTAAGCTGTAAAACAAGAGATTTGTGTGGTATTCTGAGCCACTCAGTTGTGGTGATTTCTTACAATAACAAGGGGAAAATTAATATACCAGTCAAATCAGTTAGTCTGAAAATTAATGTGGGCGAGTATAGAGAGATGCCCCAGATAATCCCAGATGTTCTGGAAGGCTCCCAGTGATCCTTTGTATCAATCCCCCACAGGATTTCCCCAGAGAAGATTACATCCTTTAGTTGGACAGTTTTTGCATTTTTCTCCACATTCCCAGAGTTCCCCAGAGGTCATCCTAAAATTAGAGCCATATCTGCAGCCTGAATTACCAACCTTTGTAGGGAGCCCACAGCAACAGGGCTTCTGTGTGTCCCTCCATGAAAGCCCTGACAGCCCTGTGCTCAGAGAGAAAGCCCCCCCACTGTCACTCACTAGAAGACACTCAAGAGTCCACATATGGCCTCAGTCGCTATCTACAAAAGGCGCAGCTTGGTCCTCGTGTACAATATCCAAGAAGTGCGTTAGAGGGTGTGTCCGCATATTCCTTCTAGATTATACTCTCCCCAATTCACAAATGAAGCAAGAAATCTTTTTGCCAGTTTTAGCCAACCTGAGACTCTAAGTACCATGGGGAGACCTTCACAGGAGAACATACTTCTGACGATCATTGACAAGGGCAGCCTCACCTCCTTTCCAGGGAGAACAACAGCGAGAGGGAGCTCGGTATTGACTAACTCATCCTGTTGGCTTGGTGTGGATTTCCTAGGTGGTGAAATTGGGATTTCCTAATAGGTGTGATTAGGGGGGATGCAGGAAGGACTAAACACAAGACCTGAACAGGAATCTAAGATCGTTTGTTTCCCTTCTGTCAGTCTTCCCACCCTTGACACACAGAGAGAATAATGTTTGTTTCTGCATCTATCGATAGATCTGGTACCTGGCACTGAGTATGGAGTTGGAATATCCGCCGTCATGAACTCACAGCAAAGTGTGCCAGCCACCATGAATGCAAGGACGGGTGAGTCGAGGACTGGTGTGGCAGAAGACCAGGGTGCCCTGTGAGACCGAGCAGCTGTGGAGGCTTGTCCTGGCAGGGACCAGTCAGAGGCAATGCCCCCCATTGAGCAGGTCCCTGGGCAGCAGCTGTCAGCCTGGGAACAACATCCACCTGCAGCTCTTTGGTTCCCTATGCCAAACCCAACACCTGACATGCAGGATGGAGTCCTGTCTTGTCCCCCATAGATCTGTGCGTGGGTCCCCATGGTCTGAGCGGCTGTCCAGAGCTGTGCAGGGCAGAGATAGACAAATCCCAAATCAGCTGCCATCATAGTGGGTCACATTTCTATCTAGCCCACCCCACAGCAGGCAGAATGTGGCCATCCTTACTGTGCACCACAGAAGCCCTCAAAAAGGCCACAAAGTAAAGGTCTAGACTTGGAAACAACCAACGAAATCTAAGAGCAATGGGGCTTGAGCCCCTTACTGCCCTGGATCCAGCCATTTTACTTCCAAGCCCCAGGTAAAGTTCACAATCGCTCTAGTACCTTAGGTACAAGCCCGAGGTTGGGCTGGAGATTTTGGACGAATTCCTCCCCTGAGGCTCAGTTGAGCATAGACAGCCCCTCTAAAAAACCACATGGACAGGGGTCCCCAGGAGTCTTCAAATCTAGTCTCCTGTATACCCACAGCCAGGTCAGTCAAAATGGCCTCAGGAATAGGCACGGCTACTGTTGCCAAGAATGGCAGAGCCCTAATGGGTGGTGGCTCCTGGTGTGCCCTGCTTGGCTTCCTGAGAAAGGCTGGGAGACGATGGATTTGGAGAGCTTGAAAATCAGCAGCCAGCTTTGTCCCAGAGGTGGATGTATTCCAGTGGCCTTGGAGCTAATAATGCCTTTCTGCACATTGTCCATCTGTTTGCCAAGCCCCTGGCCATCTTTCAAAGGGAAGGTGCTTAACAAAAAGTGAGCTGAGCGTCAGCAATGACAAGCTAATCCTCATGTCAGCAGGCCTGCTGATAGCTTAGACATCCGCAGGGGGCCAATTCCAATAAATACTGGCCCTCCTGTGGAACCCATGTCAAATAGGCTACTTATGTTGACCCACAGAACTCGACAGTCCCAGAGACCTCATGGTGACAGCCTCCTCAGAGACCTCCATCTCGCTCATCTGGACCAAGGCCAGCGGCCCCATTGACCACTACCGAATTACCTTTACCCCTTCCTCCGGGATCGCCTCGGAAGTCACCGTGCCCAAAGACAGGGTCTCGTACACACTGACAGACCTAGAGCCTGGGGCAGAGTACATCATTTCAATCACCGCCGAGAGGGGCCGGCAGCAGAGCTTGGAGTCCACTGTGGATGCCTTCACAGGTACCGGGGCAGCAGCCCAGCTGGATTCAGGGATCAGCAGATCTTAGTGTGAGGAGGTCATCCGGGCAACCCACTCTTCCAATGTCCCATTTCCTTTAGAGCAGCGGTTCTCAACCTGTGGGTCACGACCCCTTTGGGGGTCGAATGACCCTTTCACAGGGGTCACCTAAGACCATCGGGAAACAAAAAGATACTTACATTACGATTCATAACAGTAGAAAAATTACAGTTATAGAGTAGCAATGAAAATAATTTTGTGGTTGGGGGTCACCACAACATGAGGAACTGTATTAAGGGGTCGCGGCATTAGGAAGGTTGAGAACCGCTGCTTTAGAGAAAGGAGGAATGTGGGTAGACAAAGAAGAGATAGAGGAGAAACTAATAAATCAAGAGGGAATGGCTGGAAGTAAAGGGGGGAGGTGAGCAAGGCTACCTACCTGCCTGCAAATGTGTATCTGGTTTGGTCTAGCCCGGACAGAGAGGCTGGTCCCATCCATCCTTCCCTGCCCGCCCTGAATCGGCAGGCCCTCAGAGGATCCATGGGGTCGCGTTAAATTCCTTCCAGAATAGAGGTTCGAAATCCTGGATCAGTATTAGAATAACTCACAGAGGTAATTCTGGCTTTACCCTCCTGAGGGTATTCATTTTTCAGTCTATGGCTTGGAGAAAGGGGAGTGGACAGAGCTGGGGAGTGAGCAGGTAGGACCTCTGGGAGAGAGGTTTTATTAGCAAGAAGGAAAGCTGACCCCTTCCGTCAGGTGGCTCTTCGAGCCCAGTGGCCCCACCACCTCACATGTGTTTCAGAACATCCATCTCCTCTGCTTTGCAGGCTTCCGCCCCATCTCCCATTTGCACTTTTCTCACGTGACCTCCTCCAGTGTAAACATCACCTGGAGTGACCCATCCCCTCCGGCAGACAGACTCATTCTGAACTACAGCCCCCGGGATGAAGAGGAAGAGATGATGGAGGTCTCCCTGGATGCCACCAAGAGGCATGCTGTCCTGATGGGCCTGCGGCCAGCCACCGAGTACATCGTGAACTTGGTGGCAGTTCATGGCACGGTGACCTCTGAGCCTATCGTGGGCTCCATCACCACAGGTGAGGCGAGAGGACCTGACAGCAGGTGGTGAAGGGGGATCCCACAGTAGCCTTTGACAAGTCAATGAAATTTACGAAGTGAAACACCCAAGGAGTTGGAGACTGCCTCATTTGGCTAGTGAGGGGTCTATGAGCTGCTCTGAAGAAGCCACCTCTTCCAGGGCTGCATAAGATGGGAAACTGCCGTTTAGAAGATAGGATAGGCTCAACCTCTTGAGGAGGCCAGGGCTTAAAAGTGTTAGTCCAAGTATCCTTCTACTACCCGCCTGGGAGAAAACCCTGGAGAGAGCTAGTGTCTAAGAGGAAACCCTTCTACAGTAAGGAGATATTCATTCCTGTTCCGGAGAGCCATCTGTTGACTGCCCGTTGAAGTCACTGATGCAAATGATGCTTCCTCAAAATCAGATGGTGCTGGCCTGTAACCATGTAGGGCCCCGGTACCCAGAGGGTGGGGTTGATTTGCATGTTGTTTGGAAAACACAGGCACTTAGAGATGGATTGGATTTATTCTCATCTCATCATCCCCAAATACAATCCCCAGTATGAGCATGCATGTATGCGAGGATATCTGTGTTAGGGTAGTTTGCTACATACTGCCAAGAACCCACAAACTGGACAAGTGGATTAAACACTCACCTGTTTTTGATCCTGTGATACTCCAGCAGTCAAAAAACTAAAGTGCATATTAATAGTAAAAATGAAACACAGTTTAGGAAAGTAGATTGGTTCTGGACTTATGCTCTGAAATCCCCTCTACAGCCAATAGGCAGTTTTTCCAAATTGAACCAAAGGTGGATGGTAAAAAATAAGAGATAGAGATGGAGCTGGGTTTGTCCAGGAGAAGTTGGGTTTGCCTAAGATAACATGGCCACGTTGCTCCCAGTTCAAACAAAACATACAAACTTAAAGGAAAGTTCCCAGTTGACCTTCAGGTAGGTAATAGTTGCTGCCGGGCACAGACCTTGCCTGCTTGACTTTATGTTGTTAAAATATCCTCCATGAATGTGGCTTGGACCATACCTATGTGGCTTCAGGTGAGACCTCAGCCTGACCACGGTTTTAAGGATGCCCTACCCACAGAAAGGTCTTCTCTGCCTCTGGGACAACCTTAACTCTTGGTCCACATAACACCAGGGACAGGAATTCCTTATTCACACTGCGCTTTCTGTCTTTTTCCCACAACCACCTGGGTCTTTGTAGGAATCGATCCCCCCAAAGACATCACAATTAGCAATGTGACCAAGGATTCACTTGTGGTCTCCTGGAGCCCTCCTGTTGCCTCTTTTGATTACTACCGAGTATCATATCGGCCAACACAAGGTAAGTAAGCTACTCGATTTCTCCAAGATGAGTGGGACTTGGAGCTGAATGAAGGGTGTTATGGGAGGCTATCGCCACCCGGCTTGCATTTTCCCCCCTCTCCGTGGCGTGTTCCATCGGAACGAGGGTGGGTAGATGAGGAGCGGCCAAGGAACCCTGCACTCGCCAACTCCTCTCGCAAAAGACTTGACTCTATTCACCCAAAAAGCAGGCCTCTCACCAGCAGAGCTAACTGGTCATGATTATCCAGGCAGTGCAGTGAGGAGCAACGGGCCCTAAAAGAACCTGCCAAGAGCCAGGGTCATGTGCACGTCCCTGAGAGGGTGAAGTCTAAGCTAGAACCCTGGGGCGGGCCAACAGACCCAGCAGGGCCGGATGGAGGCTTGGAGGGAACCACGGTGACGATGGTCCTATTTCTGCCACTCCAGCCAGGTTATGAGTCGGAGGAAGTTGGCCCAGACCTCGCCTGCATCCCGCCCGTTATTACTGGGGCTCATGGCATTGCTAACAAAGCGGGGGACACACTCACTTCCAGGGAGGTGGTGGGGAAGTTTTACAGGCTTCTGTGTCTCTGGCCTATGTGAACCACTCTTTGCAGTCATGCCCTCTGTACTGCCATAAAAAAGACCAGCTTGTTAGAAAACCACCTAAGAAATAGTTCTTTTTACTTTGCTCCAAAGAGCCTGTAAAATGAGGAGGTGGAACCAGCATGCAAGGTCCCTTCAAGCTCCAACATTCCCCGTCCATGAACCTTCCCTCCCCTCCCCACTGAGCGCGCTGAGCCTTGAACCCATGACCAAGTGCTGCCGGCAGCTCCTAGGGAGACTTTACCATGAGCTGCAGCGGTGAGGGCTTTGCTGAACTTTAACTGTGGTTTCTGCTCCTCCTCAGTGGGACGGCTGGACAGTTCAGTGGTGCCCAACACTGTGACAGAATTCACCATCACCAAGCTGTACCCAGCTACCGAGTATGAAATCAGCCTCAACAGCGTGCGGGGCAGGGAGGAAAGTGAGCGCATCTGTACTCTGGTGCACACAGGTAGGCATGTCTCCCTGTCATGGGCCAGGTCAGGGCCCTGCTGAGGACCTGCCACACACAAGAGGCAAAGAGTGAAGGTGTTCCAGCTAATACAGAGGATGCTGGCTCAGGGCTGGGGGTCCCCGTTCATGGGCGCTCCTCTGACTCACTGCATCATCATGCAAAGCAATTGGCACCTTCTCTCCCCGCTGACAGTCCTGTCTACTCCTAGAAGTTCAGAGAGTCACCCTCTAGGAGTCTCCCTGGGCGCAGTCAGGAATGTTCATGGAACTTCTGATATGCAAAGAAACCTTTCAAAGACCCATAATGGAAGTGAATTTCAGACCAGATATCTGAATCATCCCATATAAAGTTTTAAAAGACTCAGCAAAGGAAATGTCACTGCAGAGAAGGAAAAGGTGGTTATTCCAGTAACAATCTTTGGGGTCATGAAACCTCTCATCAAATATGTCCACAAACCACCAAGTAGCTGCCTTTGCTCTTGCTTTATGTTCCAGAAAGCAAGAAGGTGGTAGCCTTCCTCTGGAAAATGAGCCCCTTGGGGGGGGCCTGAGGACAGAACTCCTGCAGCAGCTCCACTGCCCCTCCCTCTCTGGCCCCTCTGCCAGCCCACCATGCAGAAGTAGGTCAGATGTGCTGTAGAAGTCATAAGAGGGGACAGCCAAAGTCTTCTGTCCCCAACCCCCAGACCTAACCTCCCAATGAAGCTATCATTCCCATGGTACATGGGAAAACATCCAGCTTGCCTCATTAGCAGAACACCTGGATTTCCTGAGGTCACTTACTTTCCTCAAAGAACCGTATTTCTGGAAGGACATGAATCTTGGAGTTCCTCACTGCTTTTGTAGATTCTCTCACAGAAATAGCATCTCTAAGGCCATGGCCAAAGAAGCATTCCTTCAGAAACTCAAAAAAAAGATTCTTCTAAAGACACCACAGGATATTTTAATCTTCCCTAGCTTCCTTCCAGGCCTGTGACTACAGATAACCCAGCCATGTTTTTGGTTCAGTCTTGCCCCTTCCATCAAATTATTTGTGACCATTAAAGTATTAAGAAATAGTGACCCGAAGTGACACCCAATGAGTCAAAGGAAGCCCCCTTCACACCTTCCTGAAAGTCTTAGAAATCCATGATCAAGAAATTAGGCTTTTTCTCAGAGGGCAGTAAAATAGATTTCAAGCGTCTCTTAACCACAAGGTAAAAGAGCAGAAACGTGGGTCAAAAGAACTTGCTCTTCGGGTTCTTGGTCATAATCAGCAAGTATCTCTAAAGCAGATATTCAACAGGGCACCAACCCCAACTGCCCTCCTTTAAGTTCAGGCAGAGCTATTTTGGCAATTTCACAGAAATGTCTTATTTTTTTATTTGTTGTTTTTACATGAGGTTTATGGTTTTACAACCTTTGGAAATGAGTACTCTCCTACAGGATCTCGTGTTCCATCTCAGAGATCAAGTTAATCACAGTTTCATAAGACTTTTCCTCTTCTTCTCATAAGTTTCCATTTGAAGACCTCTCTGAAGGCACCGATTGTGGATACAATTCAGATGTTAAAATTGTAAACCTATTTTCTGGTTGTTGCTTTGAAATGAGGGACATAGGCAAGCAATAAAAACAATCTTCCATTAGAGAACACAGTCAGCTCAACAGCACGTCCTGGTCCCCACAAGTAAATTACATGACACTTGAGTTGATCTGATGCCTAAACTATTGTAATAACATCCATTTCTAGACTGAATCCCAGCTTCATGGAAGGGAGGCACAGTAGTGAAACAAAAGCATAGAGTGTGGGCGAGTGAGACTAGGAATGTGGTATGATGAGCAAACTCTGTTCCCCTGACAGGACTCAGTACGCAGTACGCCTTGTGAGTAGGAAACCAAGAATCCAGTAACCAAATAGGACTTTAGAGGCAACCTGAGCCCCATTCAGCCACTGCACAAGTATTTATTGAGAACCTTCTAGGTGTTAGGCACGGGAGGTACCATGCCTTCTTGGAGCTCCCACCACACTCAACAGACATCGTTGTGCAAGTCATGCTCTTACACGGATGCAAGTGCCAAAAGCCCGAGAAGCATGTTTTCCCATTAACTAAAGAAATATAACGATTGCTCTACGTCCTTAGTTTTTTCATCTAGGTTTAAATGTCTTAAGACACACAGCCGTATCTTGATATCCCCCACAGCACCTGACAGTGCTCTGCACATAAGTTAATTAATTAAAAGGAAGATCTGGGGAGAATTGGGTACTTGAGAGGAAAGGAGACAGGGAGAAGAGGAGGGGCTAATGGAACCAGAAGGGGAGAAAGCAAAGTGGTCTCCACTCACTTCATTGTTTCCTATGGCACAGCAGCTGACATTTATCATGGGTAAAACTGTGGGAGACGCATTGGGTAGAACTATAGGAGATCATTCATGGATGTCCACCCTGCAGTTGCTTCTACCATTACCTGACATTCTCCGGTTCCATTTCAGCCATGGACAACCCTGTGGATCTGACTGCGACCAACATCACCCCCACGGAAGCCCTGCTGCAGTGGAAGGCACCCGTGGGAGAAGTGGAGAATTACGTCATTGTTCTCACGCACTTCGCAGGTGGGTGTCTGCAGGCCTATCCCTCAGTCAGGTGGGCATGGCGGGGATTGCAGCGGGAGACATGAAAGTAAAAACAACAAAAACAAAAACATTCTGTCAATCTGAGGGACAAATCAGAAATTTTCCGGCTCTTACGATGTCCCAAACTCAATCCACTATGGGAATTGAGAAAGAAGCAGGATCTGAAAGGTTCAAGAAGGACACGTAACCAAGGGCAAAACGGAATCAGAAACATCGTACTAGGAAGGTAAACTCAGAATCGAGCTAAGACTTGCCCCAAAATGCTACGAGCAAGAAAGCAGACTTCTCTAGATATTTACAGAGCAAGAAAAACACTAAAGGTACAGGACCATGCTTGAAGCAGATAATGCATAACAGATGACAAAGGACGCAGAACTACTAAACTCTGCTATTGCTTTAGTCTTTTTCTACCCATATCTACCCCAAAAGTTTGAGCCCATGTAAATCTTGAGTTTCAGTGTCTTTTTCACCATGTCTGTTCACCTCACACTATCTGGAGTAGAATAGAGAAGCCCAACACAGAACAGTGCTGAGTAGTCCAAGTCTCTAGGCCTATGGAAAGGATTTCCCCACCTAAATGACACATGCGATCACAGAATTGTTGTGGGTTATAATCGGGAATCCAGAGAACAAGGATACCAGGGGACAGAAGGCAGGCAGATGTCTTAATTTTCAAAATTAAGAGAATGCCAATTCTGTAAGCTGCAAAAAAATAAATTGATTGTCAAAACTTGGGAAAAAGAAAACCAAAACAGACTATTCAACTAAATGGAAAAAGAATTAGTGATTGTTACATACCAACACAATTTCCCCTAAGAATAAGTTTTACCAAAACCACTTTATGTCCTTGTTTCTTGGCAAATCTACCAGATCATTTGTATTTAAGAAAAGTATTAGAAAAACCCACTTATCACTTAGATGGAAACATACATGATTGGTCATATTTGGAGCTGTGTAGAACTGTAGCTATTTGAATGACCCTCCTCAGAGAATGAATATTATTCCCGTGGGTGTGTCCTAACCCTCTGTGTGTGTGTCCACAGTCCACTTGAACTCCTGCCACCCCTCCTTGCCTATCATGATCTGCATTTCTTACTCTCACCATGCCTTCTCTAGCTACCATGCATTTGCACATGGCGTTTCCTCCACCAGGCAATTCTCTCCCCTTTTGTCTGCCTAAGAAAACCCATCCTTCAAGTCTTAGTTTCAACACTATCTCCCGTGTCAAAGCTTCCGTTATTCCCCTAAGGCAGTCAGGTGCACTTGATCACAGGTATAAAAAGAACACAGCTCCATCATAGCAATTAACTGTCATTCATTCAGCAAATCCCCCTGGTGCCTTCCCGTGTGCCATATCCCCTATTGGCCTATAAGGATTCAGAGACAGAGCACACAGAGTCACAGAATCCATGCCTAGTGATGTCACAGACAAGTAAATAGTTATAAGTCGATGTGAGCAGTCATGGTGTAAGCGAGCAGAAAACACGATGGGCCATAGTGACAGAGATCAGGCTACTGAGGGGAAGAGAGGAGGCAGATGTGTGTGAGAGAGAGAGACAGAAGGAGAGGGAGAATAGGAGAAAAAAGGAAATTCCAAGAAAAAGAGCAGTCTGCTTTTGTAGTGATGTGAGAGAGCATAAGGAGTGTGAGGACCCGCCATGGTCAGAGATGCAGCCATACCAGGGGAGAGAATTGCCTGGTGGAGGAAACGGCATGTGCAAATGCATGGTAGCTAGAGAAGGCAAAGAAGGATATTAAAAATCTGGAGGCATTATGTGTACTTGGCTGAAGAGTTAGTTTAGACTTTGACCTGTTGGGAGGCCTTTCTATGCCTTTAGACCACAAGTAACTGACACCTCAGGTCCTACCTCGTTTGAAGACATGCCTGGTGACCTTAGTTAAATGCTGAATGACTCAGGAGTATTCTAAAGGCACAAGACAGGGCTTGGCCCTTATCTAATGAACAGTTTTATCAACAGCTTGAGTGAATACAGAGAAGACATGCTTACCAAATTTGTGTATAAAACAAAACTGACATCGGTAGAATCCAAATTCCAGTATACTTTAATGAACTGAAACAGTAGTCTAAAACCCAATCAGCAAGACGAGATGCAATAGAAATAAATGCAAAGCTTTTCCCATGGGTGCAAAAAATCAACTATGCAAAGTATGGATGGAGGTGGTTACAAACAAGGTCTTTGATGAGTAACAATCTCCGCTGCGACAATGACGTCACATGACCGTCTCAGAACCTAATGAAGGAACATAATTGGCACAAATAGAAGAGGAGGTTGAGCCTGTTTATTTCATATTGGTCAGTACATCTCCATTATTGTTCTCAATTCTCTACTGAGCTTTACATTTCATCAGGGACACTGATAAACCATTACCTGTCTAGAAAAAGGAAGCCAGGATTGGGACAGTTTGAGAATTCTCTCATACATGTAACGGATTGGAGTCTGAATGTTCTCAGTCTAGGAAAAGAGGGAGGGGTGAGGAGGAGGGGGTCATGTAGACAAAGGATTCAACTTACTCTTTGCAACACCAGAGGCCTGAGCAGAAGTTACAGAAAAGACAATTCAGCCTCCAAACAAGGAGTCTTTTTCTCAATTAAGATGCAAAGTGAGACAAGAGGCGATCCTTGCATGGACTGAAATGCTAAGCTAAATCACCTCTCAATGATTTTTTTTTCCCAGAATTCTCAGATATTGAGTCTTTGTGAAATGCCTTTGGATTTGGTCTTTTCTAAGTTAAATAACCTTCTCCAATCCTTATCCATCCGAGTTTAGTTGCTGGAGAGACCATCCTGGTTGATGGAAGCAGTGAGGAATTCCAGCTTATCGACCTGCTTCCTAGCACCCACTATATCGTCACTATGTATGCCACCAGTGGACCTCTCACCAGTGGCACCATCAGCACCAACTTCTCTACCCGTGAGTACACGGTCAGCTTCACATCCGACCCCTGGAGGCTTTCGTGGGCCCTGAGCATGATCAGTCATGTGGTAGTCTAGGTGACAGGCTACAGGTTTGGGACAGTGCAGCTATGAGCTTTTCTTGTTGTAGTGACTGAGGCCCAAAGATCAGCGAAGGTGTGCTGTAGCCCTTGACCAGCAGACACACATCTGTCTTCTGCTTTCATCCTGGGTCTGGTGACAGCAGTAGAACCAGGCCAAGAGAAGCCAGGACTGGAGATGTGTCTAAAAGCCTGCTGGATATTAAAGGGCTTGATTTGGGGGTGACAGTTGCTGGATATGGTCATGGCCAGGAGAACGGTAGACAAAGGTATCGATGGGAGAATGTTTTAAGTTCAAGAGTGAACTCACAGGGCCAGCTGAGTGGCGTGTTGGTTAAGAGTTGGCTTGGGACACCAGCTCTGAGCAGCAGGGCTCCAGTTCGGATCCCATATAAGAGCCAGTGACACTGTTCCCTCTACAGCTAAGATGGTGAACAACAGCTCGACCTGGAGCTGGGCTGTTGTGAGTTGCCAGCGATGGGCGTAGGCTGCAGCCCCTGCTGCAGTGGGCTGCCATAAGCTACCGTGAGTGGCTGGCAGCAAGTGTGAGTGGCCATGAGCCACTGTGAGCCACCGTGAGCAGCCGTCCAGTGGCCAGTGAGCAACTGCCTCACCCGGGGAGAGCGCAATGATCATACTACCAACATGGGCCAGTGAAGCGACGTCCTCCACAACTAGACTGAAGAACAAAAGGACAAAACTTGTCTTTTTCCCTCCCCCAATTTCCCAGTAAAATCTTTAAAAAAAAAAAAAAAAGTGAATTCACAGACATGCAGGTGTAACTAGTCATGATTTCAGACAGAGGATCAGGCTGGAAGATGTCACCCCGAGGCCCAGAGGCCCTGGCAAGGGAAGGTGGGAAGAACTGCAAGGATAATTATGACACTAAAGGATTATCATCTGAGCCAGGGCCTCCCTTTCGGCTCCTGTCCAAGCTAGAACTGGGGTCAGCATGTGAGCAGCCCAGAAACCACGTAGGCAGACACATAGATAAACATGCCTGGGATCCGACGGGGAGGAGCTGGAGGGACGGGCGCACCTGAGGTTTCCTCCTGTTTGCAGTCCTGGACCCTCCTGCAAACCTGACAGCCAGTGACGTCACCAGACAAAGCGCCTTGATCTCCTGGCAGCCTCCCAGAGCGGAGGTTGAGAACTACATCTTGACCTACAAATCCACCGATGGAAGCCGCAAGGTGAGGTTTTCCTGTAAATGAGAGAGACCACTTCTATCAAGCAATCCACAGGGAAAAAATTAGGTTTCCCATGACGGATACACACAGCGTGCTGTTACCCAAGAGCCCTAATCTGCCAGCCAGAGATCTGGGTGCTTGTCCTGGCAGCACCGTTCCTCTCCATACAGGCCGAGGCAGAACACCAAACCTCCCAGATCAGGGGGTGTCTACCCTGCAAAGTCACGCGGTTGCAGGGGTGCTTCCAGGATGATGGTGCAAAGCATACTGGAGACCTCCAATTTCTCTAAGTACATGGTACCGGGAGGTCTTTTCACCAGCAGGCCGAGCAAACATGAGCGGGATACCAAATTCACACAGCCCTTTAAGCCCCTTGATAGGCGTTCTAAAGGCTACATCCCTATAGCCTACAGTAAAGAGGGGACAAATCCATTTTATGTGACTGCTGAAACGGGCCTTCTAGAGCACTGCTTGTCAAACTGTGGTTAGCAGTCAAAAGCTGTTTTAAAGTGCAGTCGTATTGAGAAACTGAAAATACAGAATAGGTTTGAGCAGGGCTAATGTGGTGCATACGGAGCAGGGAGGCCTAGGAGTCCACTTCCTCAGTCCTTGGGAAGCCAAGTTCAATCTGAGAAGCACCTGATTCAACAATCCAGGTGCCTACGTTTATCCCAATGTGCACCTGGGCGATAGGAGGAGCCTTCCCTGCTTATTGGATCGCTTTTCTCCTTATTGTGGGGAGAGAGGGACACAGTGGCCGCTGCAGTGGAGGCCCTGCTGGTCATGGGGTCCGGACCTCTCTTCCCCACTCCCCGCACCCCACGCC